ATAACCAACATATACAACAGAACGCCTCGGTGATGGCCACAGCAGATTTGATTAGGGAGCGGCCAAGCCATAGGCCAGCGTGAGAAATACTCAACGCCCACGAGTAAGTATTTGTTGCCACGCGCCCAAGCAGGAAACGGCCCGAGAATATCGAGGGCAACAATTTCATTTACCCATGACATCTGGATCGATTGCAGCAAAGGACAACAGGATCTCGCCAGCGGCTTCCGCCGGGCACATTGCACGCAGCCTTTCAGCAGATCCTCAACGTCGGAGGCTATGGCCGGCCAATAAAAATCCAATTTAAGCGCAGCCAGCATCTTCTGCACTCCGAGGTGCAACAGCCATTTATGCACAGCCCACACAACCTCGCCCCGCAGGGTGGTAGGGACAACAATAGCATAACGGCACAATCTTCCATCCCAATACATGAGCAATCCTCTCTGTCCAGACCCAAAGTTGCATCTCGCGCAACAGGGACATCGCCCGTTCCCCCTATCGCGAGCCGCATGGTTGACAATGACCCGAACCAGAAAAACACGCGCACTCTCCGGGCACTGGCAATCGTGATAGGGCATCAGCGTTCATATGGCGAGAACCCTTACGATAAATGACATTGAATGAAAAATCTTGCAGTATTTCAAGCCAGCGTGACAATTGACCAGAGGGCTGGTCCATACACAAAGCGTATTGGAGCGCCGAATGATCGGAGCACACTTTGAAGTGACACCCGTACAAATATTGCCAATATTGCTGCACAAAAACCACAATGGCCAACAGTTCCCGGTGTGTAATGCAGTCCCGCTGATCTGCCGGGGACAGCACCCTACTGCCATATGCAACCACGTGCTCCACGCCATTTACGACTTGGGATAACATAGCACCAATGTCGGTATTACTGGTGTCCGTGTCCAAAATGAATGGCAACGAAAAGTCTGGATAACGCAGGGGAGGGGCGTTAACAAGCCCATCGCGAATAGAGCAGAACGTAGTCTCCTACACCTCCCCCCAATGAAATGTTTCTCCCTTAGCCATCAGGGCATGGAGAGGTTGAGCAATGGATGCGAATTTTGCAACAAATCGGCGATAATAAGAGGCGAAGCCGATTTTAAAACTGCGCACCTCGCTGGCCGAGGTGGGGGTCGTCCACATCCTAATGCAAGCAGTTTTCTCAGGGTCCGTCGCGATACCCGATTCGCTGACTATGTAGCCCAAGTATCAAACAGATTTTTGGAGCAGATGAAATTTTTGGAGCTTGAATTTCAAGTTGGCCACACGCATCTTAACGTAAACAGCCCACAGGCGATGCAAATGCTCATCAAACGTGCGGCCAAAAACGATGACGTCATCCAAGTAGATTAGACACGAATCCCACTGGAGGCCCGCCAAAACCAATTCCATCAGCCTCTAAAAAATGGCCGTCGCGGAATGGAGCCCCATCGGAAGCCGGTTAAACTCGAACAACCCTTGGGGTGTCCAAAAAGCCGTCTTGGGCCTTGAGACCTCGTCAAGCGCAACTTACAAAAACCCAACAAAAAGTCAAGGGTTGAAAAGAGCGCGCACCTGCCAGAGAGGCCAATAAATCGTCCATGCAAGGCAAGGGGTAGGCATATGTGACCGACACAAATGCAGACTGCCGTCGTGCTTCTTAACAAGGACGATTGGAGCACCGTATGGACTGGTGGATGGCAAAATGATATCCGTGGCCAACATTTGATTCACCGCCGCACGAACATGTTCCTTTTCAGCCAGACTCAGGCGGTAAAGATTCTGCCGAATGGGGGCGGCATTTCCCGTGTCAATATGGTGGCTCAACAGAGACGTCCGACCAATATCAAATTTAGACTAAAAATGTCAGAACTCCCATTGGATCGCGTCAGCTTCTCCATTTTCCCCGCGGACAAATTGCCGCATTCCGAGCACAGTTTATCTATCGATGCCTCATCAACAACCGGAGGTCCGTGAGATTGAACGCCGACCCCGACATTGCCCACGACATCTGCTTTCGGACACCGTGGAAGAGCAACGAACAACAACAATAAACAGTAACAAGGAAAATGTGACGGCGTGAACAAACCGTCCTATTAACGAAAAGTGACGCGTCGTGAGCGAGTGTGTGCGGCAGGACCGTCCCAGGGGGTAGAGATGGTTTTGCACAGGCATGAAGAATAGTCTGCCTCAGGAGTCCTCAATGTTCCATCCATGAACGTTAGGAGATCCGGTCCTGTAGGTGGTACAGAACAATCCCCCTCACATCCTGTTTCCCCAGGCGTGACAGTCGGCGCGCCGGACACATCAGATATTGGCCACAAGGGATGTGGGGATGAATCGACAGGATCGGGCGAGACATATCTCTTTAACCACGACGGACGCACGAACCAGCGCAGCTGGCCCAACCGAATACATACACACTGCGGCTACCGGACCTCAATAACCTCGACTGGTCCTTGCCAAGAATAGTACAGTTTTGGGGACGTGCCTACGGGCACTTGAAGGTAATGCAAGCACGCCATGTCCCTTTTTTTCCAAGGCACTCCCCGCCCTCCCTCTCCTCGCAGGCGCTCGTTCCCTGCCTGCGGGCCGAGTTGCTCCTATCAACCTCGCGGGCCAACTGTAGCTGCTCAAGCGTTTGTGACATGGGGTTCGGCACCACCGACCCCTTCCGATGAGGGTTAAATCCCAACTGCACCTGCACCGGGGGTTCAGGCTCCCTCTCATACATCAAATAGAACCGCAAGAATCCCGTCGAGACATGTGGAGCTAGTCTGTAAACAGCGAGGACCCCTGGAATGTGAATCTCCCAGTCCGACTGGCCCATGGTCACTTGCTGGCATAGCATGGCAGTGAGGGTCCTGTGCAACCACTCAACCATCCCATCCGTTTGTGGATGATACAGTGAGGTACGCATCTTTCGCATACCCAGAGAATCGCACACCTCTTGGAGCAACTTGGATGAGAAATTCCTTCCCTGATCTGTGAGGAGTTGCTCAGGGGCCCCGTTATCAACAACATAGCCATATAAATAGGCGTTTTCTATAGAAGCAGCCGATTGGTCAACCAGAGGCCAGGCCATAGGCCAACAGGTTAGATATTAAACCCCAACGAGGAGGTACTTGTGTCCTCTCTGGGAGATCGGAAAGGGCCCCAAAATGTCAAGGGCCACCAATTCATTCACCCGTAACACAACGATGGACTGTAACGGGATCTGCGGTCGCAGGGCAGGAGATTTCCGATTCTCACAATTGGCACAACCTTTAATCAGGATAAATACATCGGTTTCCATTCCGGGCCAGTAAAACTCATTTTTCAGCATCTCCATCATTTTATGAACACCCAGATGCATACATTTCTCGTGTATGGCTTTAGTAAGTTTTACCCTTAAGGAACGTAGGTACAACCAAATAATAATGCTGGGACTCCCCTTTCCAACTGCATGAGGAGTCCCTCACACAGCACAATGGATGGGCGACCCACGGGCCCCAGCCCACGAGAACCACGACGGCGCAACGTCAAGAGTGAGGCGTCTTCAACCTGTAGCTTTGCCCGCGCATCATGGTCAAGATTCAGGACAGAATCGCGTGGTGACTGAGCGCCTTCATCCCACTTTGTCCCGGCTACCGCCAGCACTGCAGGCGCACCCTCTTGCGAGGGCTTACATTATATATATAGACAACAACACTAGGCCCAGGCTTTGTTCTTGATCTTATAGCTCGTCCCTTCCCTCAAACGTCCCCTCTCGTCGTGCTCTCCCCTTTTATCCTTCTTAAGCCCCCTTTCTCAAACTTTCCCTCATTGTTTGTACCGCAGACAATCATCTGTCCTTTTCCTCCAACGGTTCCCAACCATCGCCTCCGAGTTCCCTGCATATTGCCACAAATAAGAATATCCAGTTTTTTAAACGTTTATTGCCATGTACAAAACATACAAATAATGAATTGCGACTCTTTGAATGGAAGGGTATTGTTCATAACATGTCCATCATTATGAAATTGCCTAATGCACGAAGATAATTTTTAATTCAATTCTAATATTGCTGAAATGCATTAATGCTAAGACATTGCCTTCAAGATCAACAAAGCACACACCTGAATAATACAGATCATATTGCACAATTGATTAAACTATCTGCATGCAGAACGTGCTTGCAGCTTAGTTTATTCCCAGTTATTTGTATTTTTGTAAAGTATGTTACACAAATCTACACTCAAGCGTGTGACACTTTAAGCAAGTTTAAAAGTCCTCTTTTGCTGAGTAGTTGTATTAAATGGGCATTTGTTTGAAAAAACATGACTCCATAATATAATCAGTCAAGCTTCTCTGTTGCAGCGAGTTCTCATTTTTCGGTAATATTTTCTATCTTTGAAAGACTTCCTGCCACATGCAAATGTTTAATGAAATGCATATCAACAGCAGCAAAATTCACAATTGTTTGACTTCCTCTTTTACTTACTTTTATGCTTTCGGAGAAATTAGATTAAACACTTTGAGAGTTTGAATAATTTGTGAAAGTTAATAACATTTGGTTGGCAAAGTTTACAGTTGTCGACATGAAACATTTGGTTCGTGTAAGTGCAAATTATTGTTAACAAAGTTATTGACGATAAAAAGTTGTCATATTGTGACAAATATATTTAAATCATATATTATGTGCAAATAATGCGCTTTCAATACTCGTTTACTGTTCTTGGCAGAATCTAAGTTATGGCTTTATATTTCTTTCAGTAATGAGATTACTAGAATAACAAACACAAAACTACATCAAATTACCACGTTGGCATCAGTGTGCTAATGTGGTTTCAATGTTGTTCTGCTCCTGAAAACCAATAACACTACTATGGGAACCTTTTTGCCATTAAGCAGACATGAATAACGAATGGCTGCAATACCGCAGCTGCGTATCATTTAAGAGCACTGGACCGGTTTGGTGTGCGTCGTTAGTGCAGTGATGCGTGTGTGCAAGCTTGTGTGATTGCTTGTGTGTTTTTATCCACTCTGAGCAGGAGACGCTCCTTACTGCACTCCGGAACAGTACAAAGAATGTGCAAACCCTGCCTTGAGTGAGTGTTCACCCTCCAGTATCTCCGCACGAACACTCCACTGCACCAGCACACCCCACTACACCAATTACACGCCATGTCACTATCACACCTTCAGGGGCACGAGTCAGGCTGTGCTGGGTGGTACTCATCACCATGGTACGTAGACACATTTACTCTGCAGGGAGACCACTTTTTGGCTACCTGTACGAGGTTAAGGAACCTCACCAGGTCGTACTCATTTTACGTACTCCAAAAAGATGATAGGCTGTTTCAGAGCACAATGTAAAGGCATTGGAGTTTTACATTTGTAATGACAGTATATCCGCCACTAGGGGGTTAGAGCGCTGTTGCCACCCACATGGGTACGGCACACCAACGGCCCTAGGAGGCGTGATTCGGGTGGTCAAGGGAGCGAGCCTTCTGGGAGGTGCGTAGCCAGAGGGTGGGGCAAGGTCACGCTGAACAAGATTAAAGGGAAGCGCCGAAAGCGTCGAGGGTCGATTCAGAGGGTAGCGTTCATCGAGTCGTGGATCTTCAATAGCCTCGTGTATAAGTGGTTACCTAGTGATAGATACGTCTACACCAATTATATAACCAGTTCCAATATAAGGAAGTGTTAATAAACAGGTTGCCTCCAACCACGTAGTGTGTGTCGCAATTTATCAGCACTACACATTTAAGAAAGGCCATTTGATGATTTTAAATTGGCATACAATGTAAAAATATGATCTTGTACTCGGTTTTAAAAATAACTGCTGGTTATATATATATTTGAAGTTAGATTACAACCCTTGATTGTTGAACGAGTGTGTAATTTAATCTTTTGAAAAAGTGCAGCTGCATATATTCTCCAGTGTTCTTGGTGGAGAAAGACGACGACTACTGTGCGTGCGAGATGCCGTGCAACATCAAACGCTACGCAAAGGAGCTGTCAATGGTGAAGATCCCCAGCCAGGCCTCTGCCAAGTACCTGGCCAAAAAGTTCAACAAGACAGAGGCATACATTGCGTGAGTAGTGTTAGCACCTGCCAACCTATTCTTTAGCACATAAATCTGAGGGCCTCTCGTACAGGGAGAAATGGCGTTACCATTTTGCCTATATTGCTACCTTTTAAAGAAGCCCACCAGGTCAGTGGGCTCATCTGTGATGATGTCAGGTAAAAAATATTGTGATGCTCAAGTGAACGTCAGGCAGTGCTCATTATTGGTAGAAATTCTACGCATAAATATATGGGGGACCGTCTTTTCACAGGATACCCACTTTTGATTTCCCAGAAATTATTACTCATTTAATGGATACTGGGTGGGATGCTGGGCTGAGTCGACCCCAGATTTGACCTTGAAACCTTTCAAGCACATTGGAAAACAGAGATGTGCGTAGTCGCCATCCTCTATCCTCATTGGTTCATAAACTAGAATTCGCCATGGTTTAAGAGTGCACAGTGAAGTCATTTTGCACGAATCTGCAACACATGGGTAATGCACATTTCGTCATACTAATTTGCACATTTTCGTTAAAAATGTATCTATTTTTGTTACATACATTTCAATAAATTGAATAACTGAAAATGTGGCTGTATTTGTAAACTAAAGGCAATGCCTACAGATTTTAAAACAATATATATAAACCCAACAACATGTAAACGAATGTGAAATTATCATATCATACTCTCATTATGCAAATATACTCTTGAAGTTGCACATGGCTGGCTGAGCACGTGATGATGCTGCCCTTTGCAGGGAGAACGTTCTGGTGCTTGATATCTTCTTTGAAGCTCTCAACTACGAGACCATTGAGCAGAAGAGGGCCTATGAGGTGGCTGGCCTGCTTGGTGAGTGTGGTCGTGGCCACCAGCTCTTCAGCCTCCTGGCTGTATAAATATGCACAACATGCATTGCATTGCTATCACGCTATAATAGCCTTATGGCAAGATGCACGGTTGCATATACTGTATGTATGTTGAACTTCTTTCACACCGTATGTAGCCAACCGTGCTAATCGGAGGTGTGCTTGCCTGGCTTGTCTGACAATATCCTCCTGTTTGAAGGTGATATCGGTGGCCATATGGGACTGTTCATTGGTGCCAGCATCCTTACCATCCTGGAGATTTTTGATTACCTATACGAGGTAAGACATAGCCCTCATAAACCACTCCAGCCCGTCAGCAAGATTGCTGCTTGCAGGTTTGATAGGTGTCCCTGTTGTACGCACTCCGCAATCGACAGCCTCAAATTGCCCTTACGCTGTAATGCAGCAAGGCAATGCCATTACCCCAGCAGTTTTCAAGATAATGGCTAAATGCAAGTGTAGTAGATGTGGAAAGTAGCTTTGGGGATTGAGTCTAAAACGTTTCAAAGTTCATCACGACTGCAGTAGACTTGTGTCATGGATTGTGCCATCGACCCTGGCACTCTTGATCTATATAGCTCCATTTCAGTGTATAGTATATGTTCACCAATGTACCTGTACTTGACACCATTGCAATCATTGAAGACTTGGTCCAACAAGGACTGAATCCAGATGTACCAACTTTGGTAAGGCACTGTCTTACCAACACATACTTCACCTGCAATGGTACATTCTACAAATAAAATGAGGGTACCCCAATGGGTTCTCCCTTATCACAAATGGTAGCGAATGTTTTCATGGGGAAATTTGAGACAGATGCCATCCAGCCATCCACCCTATGTCCTTCCTTGTGGAAGAGATACATAGATGACATGTTCGTCATCTGGCCACATGGCCTGCCAGCACTGAACTAATTTCTCAACCACATCAATTCCATACACCCGTTTATCAAATTCACCATGGAAGTGGAAAAGGATGGCAAGCTACCATTCCTGGATGTTTTGATCGAGAAGAGACCTGATAGCTCATTGAGACATTCGGTCTACAGGAAAACCACCCACACGGATGCCATCTAAAGCCTGACTCCCACCACCATCCAGCCCAGAAGAATTCCCTCATCAAAACAATACACCATAGCGCCCGTTGCATCTCCGACCAGCACCACCTAGCCAGTGAGTTGGAGCACGTACACCAAGCCCTTAGGATGAACGGATACTCGGACCGTACAATCTCCAAAGCTGTCTCCCCAGCCATGCAGAGACAACCTTCTGAGGATCCAACCAAAACCATCACTTTACCGTACATAGCAAGGGTTACCAAAAATATTTCCAAAATCTTAAACAAACACACGATCCAGGTTCGTTTCAACACAGTACACAAAATCTGTGATTTTTAATCCCATCTGTAAAGGATGTGATTCCTGACATGCAATACCCTGGTGTCTACAAACTGAGTTGTGGTTGCGGTAGCAGTTACATTGGGGAAACGAAACGACATGTCTCGGACCGCGTTCGTGAACTCAAGGCAGATCTGAAACACGGTAGGACTAATACCTCTGCCATTGCTGATCATTGTTTTAACGCTGTGGGCTCACACGAAATTGATTTTTCCAAGACGGAGGTACTCTGCAAACCTACCGGCTACCTTCAGAGATTTGTTCATGAAGCCATCCAGATATATAAACACAGACACAACTTCAACCGAGAGGATGGGTACAAACTGCGCAATCATTCGAAGGACGTTATTAACCAGGTAAAGTCTTATCTGACTGTTTCCATCCTACCTGCCTATGTCAACTGTTATTTCCGACTCTCTGTGTCTCTTTCTATGCCTCTCTCTTAGATCTCTCATGCTCACATGTCCTTTGCATTGCACTCTCATGCCTTTGGATTGCACTCTCATGCTCACATGTCCTTTGGATTGTACTCTCATGCTCACATGTCCTTTGGATTGCACTCTCATTTTCGCATGCCCTTTGGATTGCACCCGTTGGGTTGCACTCCCGCGTCGAGGAGGCCGCTCTCCTCCTATCTTACAATTACATGCTAATTTGTCACATTAACATCACTAGCCCCGGCCACTTCTTTATGACTCTTGGGCTACACCTATTTCAAACTTTTTAAAAGTCTGCCTCAGCAGCAGACCATGCTTTCCCACCTGATGACGGACGCTTGTGTTGTGCCCGAAACGTCGTGATTTATTTTATTTTATACCTACGTGACATTACTAAAAGAACCAAAGAGGAAAGTATATGTAGTTTTGGCTTTTTATGTGAATATCGTGATTTTTTTACAGATTACTACAAATAAAAATTACCTTACATTTATGTTAAAATAATTTAAATGCATAATTAGCTTTTCAGTCCTCGTTATTAAAGTTATCTTGTATTTCCATACTAAAATGTTGAATAAAATCTACAATTTATTTGTGTTACTTGTAAACATGTATCCATTGCAATTGTGAACCAAGAATACCACAATCTCGACAAAAAAACGTCGGTGTCTTCCTCAAGTTGCGTTTGAATGCAATCAATTGACATCTGACAAAACCGCAAAAATGCACTAAATTTCCATGGGGTTGATCATTCCTTCTTGGCTATTTCACTCTATGTAGAAGCATGGGACGCATACTTTTCCCTCTGCATTGCTGTCTTTTAACATAGAAAAATATTTAATTGTCATTGGTAAACACTGATTTTTTGTTTTAATGTATGTATGTGTGCACCTCCCAACAGATAATCAAGTACAGAATTCTCTACTACTTCTGCCGTAATAAGAAGCAGAGAAATATCAACGACAACTCCGTTCAAATGACCGTAAGTTCTGCCAGGCAGAAAACATTCACAGCACACAGCACTATTTTACCACAATCTCAAAGTCGGCATGGACTCATCCAAATATCTGAAAAGAGCACATAGCTCATAACAGCTCAAAATTATATGGATTTGTTTTTAATGTGAACCATAAAATTTGAATGAGCATGTGTCGTCCTTTTTAGCAGCAGATGGCCATAGCATCTGCTCACATGTTGGTGTGTTTGTGTGCGCGTGCATGTGTGTGCGTCAATTGCAGAGCTCGTACGCGGCACCCCAGGGCCATACACAGGCCGCCATCCACCCACACGGAGCCCACGCCAAGTACGAGGACTTCACCTGCTAGGCGTGCAGGGTGCGGCTAGACCCTACCCCAAGGGCACCACTGAGCGACGCGCGTCGCTCCACACCGGCACAGACGGAGGGCGCCGGGAGAGGCAGAAATTCCCTTGTCTCTTCCCAACAGCATTACCAGAGATTGGTTTTAAATTGACTTTCAAGCTTTGTAAATGCTAAACAAAGTGATTTAAAACAGAAGATTTTTAATAGAACTTCTGGTTGAAATTATAAGGTTGTATTAAATACACAGAAAAATGCCTTGTTGGTAGCGAATGACGTTCCAGTCTTTACTACTTTACTCACGGTTTGTATTAAAATAGTATGGAGAGGAATTAAAACTCACTCTTCAATTACTTTTCTAAATTAGTTTTATAAATATTATAATTGGAGATGCAACATTCGATGTTCATTCTGGATATTGAAATTTATGGTGTTGATTGCACAAGAGTATTCTCAGACTCTAATTACGGATTTAACTGGTATATTTTTACTACATCTTTGAGGTTGTTGCCATTTAATATGTCATTTATACTGCATAGACACACATACCCCTATATATTCTAACAATAGAGCAATGATACAAATGAGGACAATAACAGCAAAGTGTTGTTTAATACAGAATATCGGATCATATATAACCAGTATCCTTTATAACTGATCAGTATACATTTGTCTGTATTAAGGGACACAGTCGTGTGCAGTACATGAGAGTTACAGGGGTATTTGAATAACTATTTTAAGTGTCTAAGATATAAAAAATTATTTTTTGCATGGCAAAGCCTGCCAAAACTAACATTGATAGTATCAATGTGTTTTTTTACTCTGAGTAGTGCCATAGATAAACAATAAGAAATATGTGTTTGTATACAGACTCTCCGAGAATAAAACATTGAGGTTTGGGATTCAGGAGGCACATTGGATAGAGTTTCCCAACTAACATCCAGACTCTGGAACCACTTATCGTTAAAAATAATTCAAATTCTGTATATACCCCAACAACAATGAATGCAAATGTAAAAGAAACCGAATGCATAATGATATTAACTAACTTCTAATTAAACGTAAAACACATTGAAACATCATAATGGGTGATTTTTTTTATATAAAATAGGCAAAAGGAGCAGAGTCGAGAGGTGATTGGTAAGTTAGGCATTGTGACGAATGAGAGAGTGGAACGACTATTTGAGTTCAGAATCACCAAGGGCATAAAGATCACAACACCTTTACCAAACAGATGGAATCTCGGATATGGACTAATTCAGATAGAAAAAAATAAAGCTGAGATTTTAAAGTAAAAACCTCAGATTAGTAGAAATGTGTCTGTTCTTGGAAGATTCAACACAGGAAGTTATGACATAATATGATGAAAGCTACACTTAAACATACCCAGTGAGGACAAATCAATACAGTACAGAAAATTCAAGAAAGTCAACATATAACAGGAAATAGTATCTTGACTTAAAGCTTTCGTGACTGCAGGAATTAATATGTTGGGTCTTTCGGTAAAGTCACGTAGATAGGTTCAAAGAAAATAACAAAAACTTCGACGTTTCGATCGCAACTTAAGCGGTCGTCATCAGGATCGAAACGTAGTTTTTATGCTCTTTGGTTATTTCCGTAAAGTCATGTAGATCGAAAAAATGATGAATAAATAATGACGTTTCGATAGCAACACACGCTATCGTTTCAGGTGAAACTATAGCAGGCGGACTGCTGAGGAGAAAATGTAGTGAGAGAGCTACAGCAACCAAAGGTGAAATACGTTTGTGGTGGGTACAACCCAAGGGTAAGTGGGCGCGACTAGGGATGGAATTTGCAAGTAAATGTAATCGCAGAGAGGGTAGGGGTGGGTCACCTCCCCCCTCCTCGGATCTTGGAGGCAACACATTCACAATACACGGCAATACAGCCCCGGCTCACTCAGGGGAACGGCCCTTCGATACCCACTGCATGGGGAGGTATTGCCTCCGGGCTAACGTGCCCTAAGACGGGACCACAACTCTGGGTCCTCCGGCTACGGGTGCCTCGGGGCGGCTACTCTAACCCGACCGAGCCAGAGTGTGGGTTCCGACCACTGGCCCACTCGGACACGGCCCTCACAAGGACATTGGGCCGGGGGTTTCCAGGGTCTTGCCAGAGCCACACAGAGTCCCGGCCCTTACAAGGGCAGCGGGGCTAGGGGTCCCAGGGTCCTATCTAGCTGGTCTTCTGGCTTCTGTCTTGGACTGGCCCCAGACCCTTCCAGGGGTCCGGCTTTTATACCCAGCACCGGTACGTCAGCCCTGGCTCCGCCTACCTTCTAGAGAGTTCCAGAGGGGGCTCCGGGCAATCCCAGGACACCCCGCAGCCCTCTCCTACTGGGAGGGGTCCCGGGGGATCCTAGGACACCCCACAGCCCCCTCCTGCTCCGGGGCTAGGGATATTGCGTCTGCCCCTACAGGTAAGTGTACATAGCCCGTTTACATCGCTACACATAGCCCATTCACGCCGCTACAGAAGGACGTTGATCAACCAGGTATAGTGTTAACTTTTGTGTTGGCCAACTCTCTGAGTTGCATTACATTTCTAAGTTTGCATAGTTTGATATCTTTTTTCTCTATCACCTTTTTCCCTCTGTAAATTTCACTCCCACCCTCTCGTCCGTTGCGGCAGCCCTCCCTCCCCCTCCTCGGATTAGCCGAGGTCACCCACCCCTACCCTCTCTGCGATTACATTTACTTGCAAATTCCATCCCTAGTCCCGCCCACTTACCCTTGGGTTGTACCCACCACAAACGTATTTCACCTTTGGTTGCAGTAGCTCTCTCACTACATTTTATCCTCAGCAGTCCGCCTTGCTGTATTGTTTCACCTGAAACGATTGCTTGTGTTGCTATCGAAACGTCGTGATTTATGCGTGATTTTTTCTATCTACATGACTTTACGGAAATAACCAAAGAGTATGAATTCCTGTAGTCACGAAAGCTTCTAATCAATTCGTAGTTTTTGTAATTTTCTTGGAACCTATCTACGTGACTTTACTGAAAGACCCAAAGAATAGGAAATAGTATATTTAGACTAACTCTAAATAACCCATTTATACCCGTGAAGAAGTAAAATTATGTTTTCTTTATAAAACCCACTTTAACAATTGTCAATCTGATGAAGTTTGATGGAGCAGTATTAGTAAACTTGCATTGACATGTTCCTCCACTCCACCTGAACACCTTGTCGTTTGCTTTTCCCAATGAACAGACATTTTAAGTTATGTCAGCTGGGTCCGGTGGCACACATCTGTTATCGAGCACGTCAGAGGTAAGGGTTGGTGACTCGTGCAAATATGAGACTCTGCTGGGCTATAATGTTGCCAGAGGAAGGGAGTATAGCAAGTACAATAGAAACATGACTTTGCGCAAACCATTTGAGTGTTATCCTCTATTCTGTATGGTTTTTTTTCTACGTGTAAACCAGCTTCCTCCTACGTGCAAACACTCTTCAAATAGGAATTGGCTAAATATCCCAATGCAGGACCCTCCTGAAACAAGTTTTGATGTTTGGTGAGGCTTTCCTGGAAAGATAAATGATATTAAATTCACATTATGCATTCATGACCAACTGTTTTCCATTATCAGTCAGGCAAAGAGAAAGTTTGATATTTCTATCACGTTATGTCAATGTAAAACAAGCATAGAAGGTAAAACAAGCATAGAAGGTAAAACAAGCATAGAAGGTAAAACAAACATAGAAGGTGGAGTCTTCTCGTTCAGGTTATTTTGCCAGCAACCGCAATCCAGTGCACCTTCACACTGTGTTTTATCGTTCTTTACTGTAAAGGACAGTAAGCATAGACATATGTGGCCATTAAAGCTGGGTCAGGTCAAATCAAATGGAGGAAAACATTTGATTTGTTGTTGTTGTTGTTGTGAAGTAATTGATCACTGAGTTGAGACCATTATGGTTTTATCTGATATGAGAGCCGAGGATTTAAGGTCAGGTGCTGGTGGTTCCTGTCATCATTCGACCTGTGAACCACCAAGCCACATCAATATTGAGATAAACTTTCATTAAAAGCTTACACAAACAGGACTGTACAGATGTATACATGTGCCACATGCATGCAGAACGGAATTGGTGAGAGCTTTAGATTCCGTGGCTACGCCGTATTTGCTCGGTACTTGGTGCACAGTGTGGGAATGTAGCTCGCCTTCTTTGGTCGCATTTGCTTGGTTTAATGTAATGATCGTCCACTGGCACAGTCGGATCTCTTGACCCCCATGACCTGCAGCCTGTTGCCTCCAAGATACTGTGACTGATTGATTCCTCACCCTGTTAAAATTTGCATTTTTGAATTTTTAATTTAGTGTTTTTTTATTCTGTCGAGAATACATAGCTCCGCTTTACTGTGTTTGACGTTCTGAATTCAGTAAGTTATTTCATCAGGAGAGCGTGTTTTTATTTGGGCAACAGTACATTATATGCCATAACGTCATGGATAGGTTATTTCCATTAAATGGGTTTTGGAGGCAATTTGATATCTCCGTATTTTTTAACGGTTTACTGGTAACACGTTTATGTGTACTGGGTGATTTTTTTTAGCATACTTAAGAAATACAGCCTAATATTGTACGAGTTTATTCAGTGCTTGAATTTTGCTGTGATGGAAGGTATTGTATATGGAAAAACATTCTTTTTTACAAAAATACTCATTTTAAAACTAAAAACAAACTAAAACTGGAAAATAGAAAAAGGCATTTCCATAATTTAGTTTTTTGCTGAAAATGGCACAGAATTTTTGCCAAACGCTCGATTTAAAAACATACATATTTGAAAACACAATTTTGGTGCTAAATGCAATTCTGTGGGTTGTCTAGAGTCATGAACATCTGCACCAATTTAATTCGCAATGTTTTCTATCCAACCATATGACATTTTTGTCAAAATGCTAATCATTCAATCAGTTGGTGGCATCCACCATTTATTCATACGTGGCTGTAGTGTCAAGATTTAACAATTGTCCAAACTCCAACACCAAAAAGGACACC